TGCTGTCAGAAACCAGCCCCAGCAAACCCACAGGCACCTGGGAGGGAGGGATGGACTGCAGGACCCTGGAGCAGGACCCCTTTTCCTGCCTCTGACAGCCTCTCTGGCGCTGCTGGGGCCAGGCACCCCAGCCCCACATCCCAATGGAGCTGCAAGCAGTCAGGGGACAAACCCAGCCTGGATGATCTCCAGGCTGGAAAAAAAGAGGGATCAAACAGTCCTTCTGTGACCCCCACTGCAGACTGAGCAGTGCTCAGGAACCTGCCCAGATCTCCTCCCACAGCAAACCCATCCCTGCCAAAGGCTGAGCTGCCTTAACGAGGCCATTCATTAACCAGCCAGGGCCGAGGTTGGGCTTGGGCTTGCCTCAGTACTGCACGAGCCTCCTTGTGAGCCCTGTCAGGGTCTGAGTCGGTGCCCACAGCGTCACCCCAAGCTGAAAGAGGTAGGGGGCACCAGCGTGGGCTGTGCAGCATCCTTCCTGCAGCGTGGAGCTCCTCACCCAGCTGAGATGCCTCCTGCTTCCCAGCTGCCATGCAGAAAGGGCTCTGCTGGCAGGAGGAGCACAGCTGGCACCCCCAGCAGGCTTTGGGCTCCTTGTCCCCATCATTGGCCTCCAAAGCAGCAACACAGCTCAACTCACCTGGCTGTCCCCTCCGGCCCTGAGCAGGGAAGAGGAAGAGCTGTCCTGGCACATGGGCAGTAGCAGCTCTGCCCTGCCCAGAACCCAGAGAAAATGGACTGGGCCGGAGATGGAGCAGGCTGAAAACTGCAGGAATTAGAGGAACAATCACAGAGCTCCTCAGCCTTAACGTCAGCCTGGAATGAATTACTCTCTTATGTGAATTCTCTTGGCTCGGCTTCTTTTTCTCTGGGCTTCTCACTTGTTTCCTACAAAGTGCTTCAACAGAAATATTACTAGCTTTCATGGAAAAAAAAATCTTATTTGAAATTATTTTATCAGTCATAAAGAAGGGGAATGAAAAGTTCTCTCAAAATTTTTGCTTTCATTAAAATAAACTTTTTTTTCCTCTATCAAAGTCAGTTTTACAAGGCTATTTCAACTGGATGTAATCAATAGGATTGGAAGCTTATTATTACTATTAACAACAATTTATTATTATTATTTTATTATTATTTTTATTATTATTGTTGTTGTTGTTATTATATTGGTAGAAGCTGTTAAAATAAACTTTTTTTCCTTATCAAAGTCAGTTTTACAAAGGTGTTTCAACTAGATGTAATCAATAGGATTGGAGGCTTATTATCATTAACAAGACCATATTCATATTCATATTCATATTCATATTCATATTCTTGGTAGAAGCTGCTTCTTAAAAGCTTCATCGAAGATGACCCCGCTGTACTATTATTATTATTATTATTTATATTATTACTATTATTTTATTGGTAGAAGCTCTTTCTTAAAAGCCTAATCGAAGATGTCCCTGCTGTCCCACAGTCCCTCCTGTGGTGCTGCCTTGTCCCGAGCGTGGGACAGCCCTGGCCAGCCCAGGGGTGCCTGCTCTCCATCCCAAAGGTTCCATCCAGCCCAGAGGTGCCTGCTCTCCATCCTGAGGGTTCCATCCAGCCCAGAGGTGCCTGCCCTCCATCCAAAAGGTTCCATCCAGCCCAGAGGTGCCTGCCCTGCATTCTGAGGGTTCCACCCAACCCAGAGGTGCCTGCTCTCCCTGCTCTCTATCCCGAGGGGCCCATCCAGCCCTCCATCCCTGTGTGGGACAGCCGGGCTGCAGAGCACCTCAGCAATGATGGATCCCTGCCCACATCTCCGTGCTGGATGCCCGGAGGGAGCACAGAGGGCAAGGAAGGGACACTGCTCTTGCAGCCCGGTCAAATTCCCTCGTCCCGTGGCCACCGGCTGCCCCCGAGCCCTCGCTGGGGGCTGCTGCCCATTTCTCTGCTGGTGATTAGATTGTTCACGGCTCCGGGGTTTGTTTGAATGGGCGCCTTTGTTCGGCGGCGCTTTCCCACGTCCCCCGCCCGGCCGGCAGTCGCGTGTCCCTAGGCTCAGCGCAGCCCCGGCCGCCGCTCCCCGAGCAAAGCCCCGCTCCGAGCGGGACATCTGCGCCCGAGGGAACCTGCCAACATCTGCCACACTTTCCCCCTTTTCAACAGCCTTTCTTTCCCTCTTAAATACTGCAGGAACAGATGTTAAAAGTTGTTCTCTTTCTCCGGAGTGTGAAGTGTAGACAAATAGCAAAAAAACAGAGCAAACTCTAAGCAGCACTCACCCCTCTCTCTTTCCTTTTTTTTTTTTTTCTTTTTTTGGAAAGCCCAGGAAAAAAGAGAGGCTTTGTTTACAAAGGAGAATCCCCTTTTCAGTGAAACCTGGCAGTGGCACCGCCAAAGGAAAGCGGGAATTCGCAGAAAGCTCCCGTAATGCTCATTAGCATGGGGCTGTTGGGTGCCTGCAATCCCCGGCACAGATGTCAGCCTTGCCCAAAGCCAGGGCAGCTCTCCCGCCAGCACCCCCGCCTCCCAAATAAAGCTTTTTGCCGTGACTGAGAGGTGTAAAATAACTGTTTACAGCCAAAGCTGCTCTGCTTTTGCACCGCGCCGCTGTCTTACAAATGAACCTTGAAATGAGCTCGCCCGCAGCAGATGCCCGTGGGCAAGGCAAGGGGCTGCGGTGCCCGGCTGGGCTGGGCACGGGCTGGCACCCGGGGCCACCGTGCTGCCCGTGCCCGGTGTCCCCTGGCCACCAACTCACCTGGGCTCCCAGGAACAGCCCCGGAGCTGGGGCAGCTCGCAGGACGCTCAGGGCCACCCCACTGCCCATGGCCTGTCCTGCCAGCCCGCTGTACCCTGGCCACCAACTCACCTGGGAGGGAGAGGAACAGCCCAGGGAACAGCCCCGGAGCTGGAGCAGCTCACAGCACAAAGGGGGCAGGAGGGAGGGCGAGGCAGGGCCAAGGGAGGGAGAGAGGCTGAGGAAGGAGGTGCTGCCATCACAGACACTGAGAGAGCTGTCCTGGTGGCACTGTCCTGGCCAGCCTCCGGGCCACCAACATGGGGCACACACTGCACCCTGCAGCAGTGCCACTAGGTTTGGGACATGTTTTTCAGAGCTTTGGGTAATTCGGGATTTGCTGACGCCCCTGCTGTGCTCAGCTGGGCCTGATCACCTCAGCTCCTCCCCGCTGCCCTTTGCACAAGGTGGAGGGAGATGGGCAGGCACCACCAGCCTGGGCACAAAACACAGAGTGAGCTCTGTGCCCCCAGCCCAGCCCTGTCTGCTCCAGGCCGAGCTGCTGCAGTCATGTGGCCTCAGCTACACCTTTTACAAATAACAGCAACAATCCATTTCCTTGGACTGGAAAAAGCTTGGAAAACCAAAGGAGTCTTCACAGGTGAGGAGCCTGGGCTGGCTGATGTGGGGCATCCTGCACGGGGTGGTGGGATCTCTTTTTCTGTCTCTGAAGACAACACCCCAGAGATAAGGATCCCACCCCTTTATCTGGCACAAAGGATAAGTCGTGAACCTTCCCCTCCCAACCCTCCTCTCCCAGCACAGCCACCACCCCAGCTCGTCCCAGGCCACTGCAAAGTAGGGCGCTTATAAAAGCAAGGAACTGCACCCCAGCTCTGCATGTGACTGCCAAACAGCCTCTGCCTGCCAGCTCCCATGGCTGGGGACGTGTTTGGGTGCTGGGGCCAGGCAGCAGGGCGTGCAGACGTGCTGCAGGTATGTTTGCATTGACACTCTCACACCCACACGGCGCTTGAGCAAGGAGCAGCGTGATGTCCTCGCTGCTGTCACTGGGGAATGTCCCCACCCAGGGCTGGAGGGACACAGGGCTCTGCAGTCGCACACCATCTACCTCACAGACATGTTTCTGTAAAACCCTTGTGGAGTGTTCTGTTCCTGTGGCTGTACTGAACACCTGGGAACTTCCAGCCAAAGCAAACCTATGTGTAGCCTGCATTGTAGAATGCTGCTCTTATTTTTTATTTATTTCAATAAAATATTTCTTTTTCCCAGGAGCTGGGAAATCCCCCCAGTGCATTGGAAGTGCCTGCAGTGCTTCTGAACTGCTGCAGCTGCTTCCTCTCCACTTCAATAAGGTGACACATTCGACACCAATCCACAGGGCTTCACCTGTGGGACCCAACAGGACACTGCCAAACCCTGCTCATCAGCAGAGCAGCTTCAGAAACCAAACGCAACATCATGAAAACGCCTTCATACTCTCCCCCAAGCCAGGCAGAAGTGAGGAAGTATAAAAGTGCGTTCTCACCCCACACCAGGCCTCCTCAAAAGGCCCCTCATGCCCTGCCCCAGCATTCCAGAGCAGCAAACAGACAAACTCCCTTCCTCACAAAGCCACCCAAGCCTCGCAAAAGGGGGTAAAAACCCAAAAAAGTAAAGGTTCCACAGGACTAGCTCAGCTCTAGGTCTGTTAGTTTCTAAAGCTTCCACAGGACTAACTCAGTTCTAGGTTTGTTAGTACCTTCAATACCCTGTACATTTAATATTAAATTCTGCAGAGCAGCCAAAAACTAGAAGAATTACATATTACCTACACCCACCCAGGTGCAACAGATAATTCAGGTTCCCAGGAGGTAAATACAGTTCTCATGTTTTCCCTAGAGGATTTCTGTGATGGAAACAACCTTCCTTCGGGTGTCTGCTGTCAACAGTTTTTAATCGATCATCGTTTCCTTGTAACAATAATCCCTGGGAGCAGCAACTCCTAGCTGAAGCACTCTATTCTTAAATTAAGAGCCTGTTACAATGATGTGAAACGACTCGGCTCAGCTTAGCAGGTAAAAACAGGCATGGCTTCAAGGAGATAGAGGAGAAAACGATGAGTGGAAGGCATTTTCCCAGGTGTAATTCAACCGCTTCCCGGCCATTGTGTCCCTCCCTGGGAATCTGTGCGAATTGAACGAGGAGCCGTGCAAGCTGCTCCGAGCGCGCCCATTTTCCTGCCCTTCTTCCCGAACAAAGGATCCCTCCAAAGCCCAGCGTCGGAGGCCGGACATCTGTCGCCGTTTGGGGGGGCCGCCGTGGTCATTGAAAAGAAGCAGTGACCTGTCAGCTTTGATTGATGGCCACAAACCTCCGGGCTCGACCCCTCGTGTGGGAAAAGAAGTCCCGCCAAGGAAAGTTGCCTTTCAGATGCTAATTTGGGGTTATAAATACAGCCGAGGAGCAGCGGAGCAGCAAAGAGCCCAGCTGGAAGGGGAGCGAGCCACTGCCCCAGCGCCTCCTTCCCTTCCCATCCCATCCCATTCCATCCCATCCCATCCCATCCCGTCCTGCCAAGCTCCCTGTCCCAGGATGACAGCCACGGCCACCACGGGCACGCACAAGGTGGCCAGCACCAAGGAGGAGAGGAAGGTGAGTGTCCCTGAGCTGGGCATGTCAATGAGGGGTGCCAGCCACTCAGGAAGCGCTTTAGATTTAGAGCGATGCTTTTGCTTTTACTGATAACAGCTTTTGCTGTCACAAACGCTTTTTCTCCTCTTGGAAAAATGTTTTTTCTCTGATTTTAACTCATGTGGGTGTTTTTCTGCTTCCTTTCTATGCCTCCTCTTTGTTTTTAAGTTTCTGTGTTTGAAAGGATTGGAAGTGGGAGAAGGGAGAGGTGATGCCACCTCAGGGATGGGCACAGGCTCCATGCACACCTTGTCCCTGCTGAGCTGTGTTACCCTGCGCTGGCTTCACACAGGGAAGGGATCTCTGGCCTTGCTGGACTGCAGCAGGGAGAGGAAATGAAAATATCAACTGAGATCTTTCCTGCTCTTTTTCTTTGCCAGTTAAGGAAACCCCTCATTGAGCGGAAGCGAAGGGAAAGGATTAATAACTGCTTGGACCAGCTGAAGGAGACTGTTGTGGGTGCATTTCACCTGGATGTAAGTGCTCATTTTATGCTGCTTTTTGTCCTTCTGCTGGTGGGGAATTGGGTTGTGGGGGGAGGAAGGGGAAATGCATCATCTTTAGAGAAACTGGGAATGGTGCAAACCCTTCTCTGCCTCTAACTGCTGCGTTCTTTCCCTATCAGCAGTCTAAACTGGAAAAAGCAGACATCCTGGAAATGACAGTGAAGCACCTCCAGAACATCCAGAGCAGCAAGATGCTGGGTGAGTGCTGGGTCCCTCACCCTGTGCCAGCAGGTCTGATGCCCTGGCAGCCTGGCACAAGCCCCTTTTAGACCGCCCAGGCCCAGCCTGCTGCCGGGCTTTGCCTTTCTCCACTAGATGGGGAGATGGAGCCGGGCACTGCTGGATCCACGGAAGGCGTTTTTCCTTCCCTTCCTGAGCCGATTTCTGCTTTTTGGTGCAGTTTTGCCTCGGCGCGGGGCAGCGGGGCACAGGGATCACCTTTTCCCCGCACACAAAGCATCTCTAAAGCGCAGGGATGCTCGGACAGGTCTCTAGGTGACTCTGCCCTGCTCACCCTACAGGGCACAGGGCTCAGGGCTCAACTTTTCCCCGCACACAAAGCATCTCTAAAGCCAGAGGTGCTCGGGCAGGTCTCCAGGTGACTCTGCCCCGCTCACTCTGCAGGGCACAGGGCTCACCTTTTCCCCGCACACAAAGCATCTCTAAAGCGCAGGGATGCTTCAGACACCCCCTGGTGACCCTGCCCCGCTCACCCTCTGTGTCTGTCCCGCACAGCCGACTCCAAGGTGGGGCTGGAGGCGCAGCAGAGGTACAGCACCGGCTACATCCAGTGCATGCACGAGGTGCACAACCTGCTGCTCACCTGCGAGTGGATGGACAAGAGCCTGGGGGCGCGGCTGCTGAACCACCTGCTCAAATCGCTGCCCCGCTCGGGGGATGAGCCCGGCAAGGCAGCGCTCCGCTCCTGCAGCCCGGCTCTGCAGCCGCTCCAGACACACAAAAACGCCCCGAGCCCCAAGGGCCGAGGCACAAACCCGGCGGAGAACAAGCAGGCTGCCAAAAATCCCCTCCAGCTGCCCTCGCTGCCGCTCTGCAACCAGGCTGATGCTGCGCCTCCTCCCAGACAGGTTCTGCAGCCAAATTTTTCCCATAACAACCCCAGAATGGGGTCATTAGATATGTGGAGACCGTGGTAAAGTGTGCTTTTCATTTTTGTCCTAACCTTAGACACTCTTTACGTATGTATCTTATAGATATGTTGCTTTAAAACACTTGTGGAGCAAATCTGTTCCTGTAGGTGTACTAAAGACCTGGGTACTTCAAACGGAAGTAAACCTATGTGTAGCCTGCATTGTAGAAGGCTGCTATTATTTCTTATTTATTTAATACATCTAAATTATTGTCTAGAATCCTCTCGTGCTCTTTAGTGTATAATAATGAAATAGTTTTTTTGTCTTACATTCTAAAATAATTAACTTTCTATTAATAAAAATACAAGGCAATAAGCAACAAACCTCTCTGGAATCAAATTTACCTTCAGATCTCACATAAGCCATTGAGATCCCTTTGTTGGATAAAAGGGTAAGCAACTGGTGTCTTCTGCTTTGTATTTTTAATATCATCCCTGTGCCATGTAGGATATTCCAGTGTTGAGTCCTGTAAAAATGCTGCAATTATTAGGAGGAAAAAACAAAAAAAAAAGAGAAAAAGGGAGAGACTTGGTTTGGACTTTTTAGAAATGCTCTGTGGGTTGCTCACTCAGGCTCTGCTGTTCTCAGCCTACTCTAGAGCTTATGAGTACATGTGTGTGTGTGTATATATATATATATATATATATACATATGTTATATATATATGTTACATATAGTTATATTTAGGGAATTTTTTTGTTTCCATAACTAAAAGTTCTAAATAAGCCTTCTGAAGATAACGACTGACATTTCTCTCAGCCTTGTCCTGTGTGCTCTGAATAAAGAGTGTTTGAGGAGCATCTGCTTTGATTTGCTTCTTTCACCAACAGTTTTCCCTGGATGCAGTTGGAGGGCTGGTTTGGGGGCTGCCCCCGACACTTTGTAGGACAGCAGCGTTCACCACACACACAGACAGCCCTGCCTGCATCACAGGGACACTTAATGAAGGAAATAGGGAGCTGGGTTTATCAGGCTGGATTAATGCTTTAGCTTTACTGATAACTGAGTCACTAAGATCATCTAGAGAGCAGAAGGTGAAATTCCCTGCAAACTGGACAGAGGAGATTGGGACAAATCTACTCACTTGCTGGCAACATTTGGTGCCCGTTTTTCATCTCAGAGGCAGTTAGAAGCTGCTCACAGCAGAAATAAAAGAGCAGGGAGCTCTTAAACAAACACGGAGCATACTAATGAATGGCCCCGCAGTTCAGGGGCTCATTATGCAGGAGAGCTATTGGGTGAGGTGCTGAAGGAGTGAAACCGGCACCTCCGGGTTCAGCATCTTTTCCTGGGAAGCTTTCCCTTTTATCCAGCCGTTAGGAGCAGTGGCATGAGGGTGGCAGCAGAAACAACTGGCCCACACCTGGCTGGAGGGAGGTAAGGCAGGTCAGACATCAGGTGAAGACACAGAATTGCACAGATCCAGAACTGCACAAATATCAACCTCAGCTTCCACTCTCTGCCTGAAAATGAAGATTCCCCCTTTCCTGATGGGGCCCTTTGGAGTGATCACTAATGTGAAAAATGCACATCATCATCATCCTCGTCCTGATCCCACTGCAAAGTCCAGGGGAGGTGGGGCCAACCCAAGCACACAGAATGGTCATGGGTAGAGAAACCAACCAGGCAAAGAAAACTGCAGAATCCTGGCAGAGAAAAGGCATTAAAAATCTTCCCAGCTTACTGTCACAAATACAGGGAGGTTCAGATAAAAGCCCATGCCATGAGAGCCTGTTGCAGACACATTTTATGAAAAATCCTTTCCTTAGGATTTTTCCTCCTGAGAAGCTGAGAGACCTCAGGAACAAAATGTAAACATTGATTATCTGCTGCTGTGGAATGCAATAGGTAGATCTTTGATTGGCCCATGTTGGATGTTTATAATTAATGGCCAATCACAGTCAGCTGGCTCAGACAGAGTCTGAGACAGCTGCCTTTGTTACCATTCTTTCCTTTCTATTCTTAACTTAGCTGGCCTTCTAATGAAATCCTTTCTTCTATTCTTTTAGTATAGTTTTAATGTAATATATATCATAAAATAATAAATCAAGCCTTCTGAAACATGGAATCAGTTCCCTGTCTCTTCCCTCATCCAAGAACCCCTGTGAACACTGTCATACTCCTGAACTTCTAGAAGGTGTCACCAATGCATCTCATGGCACTCCTGGCCACCTCCTTGCTATGCTGGGACAGACTCTGATGAAAATATTTTACTTCAGTTTGACAGCATCATCTTAAAAACATACATTCTTCTAAAAGCTGTAAATCCCCAGGGACTATAATTATTAGCTATGGTTACTGCGCTGAAAGGAGATCAGCAGGAAATATCTATTTCCCACTATCTCTGCTTGTTTATTTTGTGTCTTTGAAAATGCTTTGTGGTTAGTGAGTTTTATTGTTTCCTGTTTCTAATCAGTAAGGGCTTTTTTCTGTTGTGGGTGTGGAGGGAAGGGTCACATCACAGCTGGTGAGAGAGTTTTAAAAATAGGAAAGTGAGACTGCAATACTTGGCCAACAATCTCCAGCAACACTTTTAGTACACGGCACTCATTTTTCATTGCCTTCATTTCAAACCAAGGGTGACTTTTTATATGACCTCCTTGTTCTCTATCCAACCAGTACTGCAGGAATCCATTGTAGTCACCAGTAAAAAAAAAAAAAAAAAAGTTTCTTCAGAAAGAAAGCAGAGGATTACTCACAGCACTTCAAACACACGAATTTCAACTTCTAATTACATTGGACAAAGGAACTCCATACTTACTTCAAACCCATCTGGTTTCACCAAAGCCAGGACTGTACAAGAGCAATAACACTTTGCTCTTCATTATGATCACCTCTCCACTGACAACCCAAAAATGCATTTCCAGCTGCTCCCACCTTGTCCCCAGGAGAAGGAAGGGAGCAGCTCCTGCTGGCCAGTGCAGAGTGGAGAGCACCAAAGGGCTGGGAACACAAACCCTGAGGGAGCTGGGGGTGCTCAGCCCAGAGAAAAGGAGACTCAGGGCTGCCCCCATCGCTCTGCACAGCTCCTGAAAGGGGCCTGTGCTCACCTGGGGCTGGGCTCTGTCTGCAGCAGCACTGACACAGCCAGAGCCTCAAGCTGCGCCAAGGGAAATGCAGGCTGGATATTGGGAAAAAGCTTTCACAGAAAGAGTGATAAAGTTCTGGAATGGTGGAGTCCCCATCCCTGGGTGTGTTTAACAAAGCCTGGATGTGGCACTGGGTGCCAGGGGTGAGTTGAGCTGTTGGGGCTGGGTTGGACTCCATGATCTTGAAGGTCTCTTCCAACCTGGTCATTCTGTAAATTCTGTCCTTGGCAGCTGCTGGTGGAAGCTGCCCCTCACTCACACAGGCTCTGCCCAGGCAGATGCTCCAGTCACATCTGCAGCAGTGGCTGTGACCCTGCCCTGCCAGGGCACAGCCCAGGATGGATCCCCAGCACCTTCCAGGCTGCACTCCATTCCCAACTGGGACTTGTCGCAGACATCTTTCATGAGAAATCTTTTCCTTAGGATTTTTCCTCCTGAGAAGCTGGGAGGCCTCAGGAACAAAATGTAAACAATGGTTATCTGCGGCTGTGGAATGCAACAGGTGCATCTGGGATTGGTCTCGTGTGGTTGTTTCTAATTAATGGCCACTCACAGTCAGCTGGCTCGGACTCTGTCTGAGACACAAGCCTTTGTTATCATTCTTTCTTTTTCTATTCTTAGCTAGCCTCCTGATGAAGTCCTTTCTTCTATTCTTTTAGTATAGTTTTAATGTAATATATATATCATAAAATAATAAATCAGCCTTCTGAAACATGGAGTCAGATCCTCATCTCTTCCCTCATCCAAGAACCCTGTGAACACGGTCACAGGGACTGCATTCCCAAGGCACAGACAGGGTTTGGAGGCACAGACACCTCATGTGCAGGCTGAAAACAGCCAGCACCAGCTCCCAGAGCAGATTCCTGGGCTCAGGCATGGCCAGACAGACCTGTTTGGATGCAGCACATCTCCCCAGCACAGGCAGGGCTGGGACAGAGCAGAGCTGGGCTTTGTCCCCTGCCAAAGTGCTGTTCCAGGCATGTGTTTGTTGATGGAGAATTAAAAAGCAGAGATTAGTGGCTGTGTACACAGGGATGTGAGGAAGGCTGGACCCGAGCCTCTGGACCCTCACATGCCTTCAGTACAAAGCAATTACTGATTTTTATAGCAACATAAGCCCAGGTGTGTGACGGTGTTCACAGGGGTCTGATGTTGAGGGAAGAGACGAGGATCTGACTCCATGTTTCAGAAGGCTTGATTTATTATTTTATGATATATATTACATTAAAACTATACTAAAAGAATAGAAGAAAAGGTTCTCCTCAGAAGGCTGGCTAAGAATAGCAAAATAAAGAATGATAACAAAGGTTTGTGTCTCAGACTCTCTGTCCGAGCCAGCTGGCTGTGATTGGCCATTAATTAGAAACAACCACATGAGACCAATCACAGATGCACCTGTTGCATTCCACAGCAGCAGATAATCAATGTTTACATTTTGTTCCTGTGGCCTCCCAGCTTCTCAGGAGGAAAAATCCTAAGGAAAGGAATTTTCATAAAAAGATGTCTGTGACACAGGTGGACAGAACACCCACATACACAACAGTCTCCTTCATGGAAACTTCACTCCCAGACCTGCTCTCATGCAAACCAAGAGGAAAACTCTCTTATTTCTCAGAAACAGGAGCAAACCCTTTCCCACTGGGAAAGGGCAGAGCTTCATCAGTAGGAAAGCGAAACTGGGGCCCAGAGCTTCATCAGTATGTAAGAGAAACTGGGGCCCTGCCATGCTGTCTTCTCTGGGACACACACAACCCCTGGGGCCCCTGAGCATCCCTGCCTTCTCCCTGACTCGTCCTCCCAGCCTGAGGTCCCACAGCCACCCTCAGTGACAAGGCCAAGCTGCTTTGGAGATGTAGGAGTGGTGCTGAGCCCCTGCACATCACTGCCTGAGCGGGCTGAGCACAGGGCAGGACAAGGGAACGTGAGCTGTATCCTCACTGATCTCTTTGTTGAGTGCTCACTTGGGCAAAAAGGAGCCTGTGCTGCCAGTGTGGCCTCTCCAGAGGGCCTGCAGGGGCTCCTGGTCCCCTGCACCCCTCAACAAAACCTGTGCAAAACCAATTCAAATGCAAAACCCTGTGCAAAACCCTGTGCAAAAGCAATTCAAATGTTTTCAAACTGCGCTGAGCCATGCTGCCGTGGCTGGCAGTGCTTGCAGGTCACTGGCAGAAGGGATTCCTTGGGAGGAAAGTGCAAACAAACAGCAAAGACTTCACCTCTCCTTTATTTATGCCATTATCCCACAGCTCCCAGCCTGTGCACTCCTGTCTTACAGGAACATGATGCTCACATTTCATCTCAGGAGGAGCAATGCTGTGTTAAGGACCTAACCCAAAGTCTGTCACATTTTTCAGAGCTTTCCCATACTCATGAATGATGCAGCAGAAGCTGAAGCCAGCCCTGGATCTGTTCTGCACTGCTGAGATGTTTAACCTCTAAGTCCAAGTCCTGGTGAGAACATGACAGGAGGCATCACCACAGCCCTACCAGAGCCTGGGAACACTCTGCTCTGAGGCTCTCCTGTGGCCCCTGCATTAGGCAGCATCAATTGCATAAATCCTACCACATATTTGCAACTGAAGAGTGCCCTAGAACATTTCCATCAAGTTTTCCACAGCTAACACCACCCAGCAAAAGGACTTCTTCAATCAATCCCACATCTGCTGCCACAA